CCTGGAACAACAGAACGTAGCTGTCAAACAAAACCCAAACAGGCCTTACCCGCCACAATAGGAAGTACCGCCATGTAATCCATTTATTTAAACAAATGCCACCTTTTTAAACGGTAACTGTAACGTAATACAGTTACTCATATTTTGTATTTTAAATACGTAACGGCGGTACATGTATTCCGTTACTCTCCAACACTGACTACAGTACTATATCTCAGCCTATATCTTATACTTATATGACCCAAGTGATTGGTTTGGAGACTACAGGGATGAGAAGGATCCCCCTCCACTTATCCCCTTCACTAATCACTAACATCCCATTAGGGCTCCACCGAGAATAAAAAACACAACAGCCAGCAGTGGCAGCGCTCGCTGTCATCAGTGGCGGGGTTCGTGGTGCCTGATGATACCTCTCCTCTCCCTTGTGTTCTCTGTCAGCACTCAGACTGCCTGCTGCTAAACAGAGCAGTTTAACAACCCTCCCAGCATCCTTCCTCGCTAAATGATTCAAATGCTTCGGTACTTCAAAGTGGAACCAAATGTTCCATTTCAACAGATCCCTTGAAGGAGACTTTGCCGCTAATGACACACTGTGTGACGGTAGCCTCCGAAGCCCACGAGCAAACTGCACCACGTGGAAACAGAAACAGGGGAAGGCGCAGGGTGAGCGTAAGGAACATTGTAAAAAAAATCCTAACACAAATTAACAAAACTACTTCAGGATAACATTTTGGGCTATTTTGACAGTGCTCACAGTATTTATCAACGTAACCTGTTCTAACGTAGTTTGTAATGCGAACAATTCACAAAGCCTTTAGCAAAGCATTCAGAGAAGTTTGTTTTAATGAGAATTTAAAGTTCAGTGGCTCATTATCATACAGTGCTCCTATTAGCATATATTACATCTGAACTCAGCCTGTATAACCGTGGCCCTCTTTGTTCTCAGCGTCTTAAAGGGTGGAAGAATAGCAAAAACAAATATTAACAATGCAAGCCCTCGTTAATACTCTGAAAATGGAAATAATCTTACAGACAATGAAAGTTAAAGTAACAAGCAGGACAAAATTTCACTGTCTGAATCAGCCTCGTTCAGTTTCAAATGCTCATTACTGATAACTCAGTCTAATAATGTATTCATATATCATCTAGGTTTTGTTTATTCAGCTCGAGAGGAGCTGATGAAAATCGACACATTATAATAACAAATGGCTAAGTTCAAGTAATTATCTACTATAATGTAGAACCTGCATTTGTGCTCTGTGTTTGGTATGCGCTTCATGTATAGTTCTCACAGGCACAAATGGTTTTATTATTATTTATGCTGTACTTCCTGCTCTGCTGCCGCCTGGTTTACGTGCATCCCGCGGGACGCTTATGCAATGTAAACAGGACGATGTTGCGTTGCCTCCAAACCCATGTATTAATATTTGTTTATGTGGCCTTTTATGGAAAAAAAAGTTCAATGCAACGTTGAACATGAACACCGTTTATGCAAATGCAAAAAGTCCCACAAAAAGTAGATCAAATCTACAGCAAAGCCACCTGATTAACTATGAATAGGTGTCTGACAGCTCCACAGAAACGGTTTTAGCTTAGATTTGAAATTATCCTCGACATCATCATTTCAAGCTTTGTGGGGATTTCACTGCATCTGTTCAAAAGAGGGTTCACAAAAAGGTACTTTACAATCCTCCAAAATGCTACCTGAGTAATTAACTGAGAGATCAGTTGTGTCCATGAGCACCTTAGCAGGCAAGTAACAAAGACATCTGTAGATAGTTTATTGTAAAACATGCAAAATGTTGATATTAAAGCTGTTATTCTGTGTATTCAATCAGCCTTTTCCTCTCTCTTAGGCACGCGATGCTTTGGGAAAGTTTGTAAAGAAAGCAATTGTGCACTACAGGGATGACCTGGATCTGCAGAACCTGATGGATTACATTCAAAAAGAGGTGCTCACATTGGCCACTTCCACTTAGCCAGAGTGGCTCCTTTTGTCTGTAGAAGTCTGCAAACTGATCACAGATAGTTTATTGGATGCATCTGAGACTAAAGCAAGAAATCACAGTTTGTTTTGTTTGTTTTTTTGCCTTAGCGAGGGTTTCCACAGGAGGCTGCATGCAACTTACAGTTCCTGTTCTCTGTGGGTCACCGCATGTGAAACTGCTCTTCCATCTGCACATGCTGGCACATTTATGAGTTTGGGTTTTCCCACGGGAGAAGCCCTGACTGGCAGGATGCCCAGTACAGACCAACACTCTGTTTCTAAATATACACTCGATTTCACTTTTCACTCTTTTCTTTTTCCCCCCAGTTCAAGTGCTGTGGATGGAACAACTACACGGATTGGTCTTGGAACCTCTACTTTAATTGTACACATGACAACCCCAGCTCTGAGCGCTGTGGTGTGCCTTATTCCTGCTGTACTCCTGTTCCTGGGGAGGTCAGTCTTTCTCTGTTTAGCCTCTTAACATACACAACATGTACAAACTAACATCGTGGCTTAAAAGAAACCTTAACACAAACCTCCATAATCTTAAGATTATGTATTATTAAGATTGCTGACCTCACAATTTCAGTCAGCATTTCAAATTTGTTCAGTGTTTTAAATCTTCTCTGTCATGCCGAATTCACTTGATTAAGCAACTGACAAATCAAACCTCCTTCACATTTATGACAAACAGAAACAAGAAAGGCAGAAAGAAAATGACATGAACAGAACAAGCAGCTGTATGATGATGAAACAGGCTCTTAACACTTTATTAACAGAGAAAAATAAATAAAACTCATGAAAATTTAAAGTTACAAAAAGAAATCTTGTATCTTGACTCAGCAGAGTCTTATGCAGGAGCTCGGTGAGTAGAACAGACTGTAGCAATAAAGGATAACACACGTAAAGCTACCCAGCCATGTCGACACAAGTGTCGTGTGTATTTCACATTCACCTCCACACATCTCTCTCTCTGAATGCAAGATATGTATGTGGCTGGCCATGTATTCAAAGGGAGACAAAGTATGGCAGCTATGCATGCATTTCTTCTAAACTTGGAGAAGAGGACTTCTAAAGGTCCCTGGAGTCTCCAGACAGTTACATTTGATTAGAGGTGAGGCTTCGCTGTTAAGACATCAGACTGTCTTATCCAACAGAAGTGAGACTGTCAGCTGATGATGGGGATTCAAGACTCTGGCATTAAGAGAGACCCAAAGAAAATTTGAAATCATCTATAAAATATACCCGATACTTTAGCTAATGGTCTGTGGATGCTGAATTATATCCAGCACTGCCTGACTGTGACAACCTATGTACGCTAGTGTGTCCAAACTAAGAGGCTCTCAGTCGGGAGGTTATATTTATATTTATATTTATTTATTTAGGACAGTGCATGTTAATGAACAGAAATGTAAAAAAAAAATTACATGAATGTAAACATACCAGATTATAGCCAAGGGCTAATTTCCATCTGTTGTCCTTAAGCATAAAAAATAGACATAATAATTCATAAAAATTCATAATTCATTCATAATAAAAACTCCATCACCAAACTTGCACATACACACCATTCTGTTCCTAATAAAACATTAAAACTATACAACTCAAATACATGATCACACACTTGATTTGTCCATAACCAGTTTTTAACCTTTGCCTTCAACAAATTGAGTGTAGAGCATTCTCTAATGGGTTGAGGAAGACTGTTCCACAGATGGCCACCCTT